GTGGCATTAGAAATCATTGTCTAGCAGGGAAAAGAGGGATTAGTGGTTGTGATGGGACATGATGGGGGTTTCTAGAAATTAACAATGTTAACTATCTTCTATTTCTTGATCCAGATGGTGATCACATGAGTATTTATTTTGTAATAATTAATTAAACTATATCTGTATTTCATGCACTTTTCTGTTATACTTCAAAACGGCGGGGGGAGTTAAAAAGAGAACAAGAAGTGTAGAAAGAGTCTAAATGATTTAAACTTCCTAAGTTTATTAATACATAAGATGGCCAAGTCATCAGGTCAGATGGAGCTACATTCTCCATTTCAAGGGTGGGTGGGACACTGGGGGGTTGGGTGGGGAGAGTTGCCCCTTTGGATATAGGAAAAGTAAATTAAAGAAATTTTCACCTGATCTTTCTCTGCATGTCTTAAAGCTCATTTAATCTGACTTAATGCCTCTAGCTGTTCCAGACAGCTAGTCTCCTGGGTATTCCAGCTTTCTTTGGTAACATTATGTGTAGCTGAATTATGTTTCTCTTTCCACCTGGCTGTTGCATGTTTCTAAATTTATCTCAGCATCCTAATTTACCTATAAAAATAGCCTCTACTTTTTTATTATGGAAAATAATTTTACAAAACAAAGGAATAGTGAGCATTATACACAACCATTTGCCTCATTTCAAGTTGTCTTTGGGTGGCTTTTAAAAAAAAGATTCTATATATTTATTATTTTTTTAAAAGATTTTATTTATTTATTTGACAGAGACACAGCGAGAGAGGGAACACAAGCAGGGGGAGTGGGAGAGGGAGAAGCAGGCCTCCCACCGAGCAGACAGCCCCATGCAGGGCTCCATCCCAGGGTCCCAGGATCATGACTGAGCGGAAGGCAGACGCCCAACGGCTGAGCCACCCAGGTGCCCCTATTTATTTTTTTTTTTGAGAGTGAACATGAGCCAGGAGGGCGGAGTGCAAGTAGGGGCAGAGGGGAAGGGAGAGGGGTAAGTAGACTCCCTGCCAAGCCGGCTAGATCACAGGGCTCTGAGATTATGACCTGAGCCAAAGTCAGACTCTTAACTGAGCCTTCAAACATCTGTATTCAGGTGTTTATTGATGATATATATGATAAACAGTATCCATATACTTCTCCTTTTCACTTAACCTTATCTTCCTATACATATTTTTCACTTTGACAAAGTTCACCTATAGTAGGTATCAACAAGCTATTCCATCTTACTTATCTATGTTGAGCCTTTTTTGACTTAAGTGATTCTAATGTTCACAGGAAGCACAATACCTCTGTATCCACCTCTAATGGGTCAGTTTGGATCATTTGTTTCATTTCTGCTTCTTCATCAAAATTGCAACCCCACTATTTTCACCAGCTGTGTCAAAACAGTGTTCATGGGGTGCCTGGGTGGCTCAGTGGGTTGGGCCGCTGCCTTCGGCTCGGGTCATGATCCCAGGTCCTGGGTTCGAGCCCCGCGTCAGGCTTTCTGCTCAGCAGGGAGCCTGCTTCCTCCTCTCTCTCTGCCTGCCTCTCTGCCTACTTGTGATTTCTCCCTGTCAAATAAATAAATAAAATCTTTAAAAAAAAAAAACAGTGTTCATGAAGTAACAGGTTAGAATGTGGGGTTCTCCCAAGTAATTTCTTAAAAGATTTTATTTATTTATTTGACAGAGAGAGAGAGAGAGAGTGTGTGTGTGTGTGCGTGCGCATGCAGGGGGAGCAGCAGGCAGAGTGGGAGGGAGAAGCAGGCTCCCTGCTCTGCAGGGAACCCGATGCAGGGCTCGATCCTAGGACCCTGGGATCATGACCTGGGCCTGAGCCACCCAGGGGCCCCCTTCCCAAGTAATTTCTTACAAGATACACTCTGATCCTTTACACCTTGTTTCATTTATGCTGTTCATCTGTGTAAGACCCATTTCATTCTGTCATTATACTTAACAATTATTTCATGGGTCAGTGGCTGAAAGAAAATGAAGATATGATAGCCTGTGAAGTATAGGCTATGATTCACAGTGGAAAGCAAACTACATTCTGGATGTCATTCTCTCTCCAGTCCAGGCATCTACAGTCAAGGGTGGGGAGGAGAAAGAGGCAGGACTGTCTGTTCTTGAAGAAATTTTAACTTCACTCTCCTCATCTGAATCTAGTCTCTCTTATCTAGATGCAAAGATGGGGCCACCTGGCTCCTCTCCTTGTAGTACTCACATTATCTAAACTAGAGAATCCTTTTCTTGTGGCCCAACAGTTTTGCATGACCCAAACTGAGCCAACATTTTCAAAGTATGGATATGCTGTAATTGTATGGGAATAGATGTACTGAATGTGTTTTGCAACAGTCTGAATGGGTAGTGTCAGATAATGGGGATTTGGGAACATATCTAGACTTTCAAGTTGTCTTCTGTAAAAAAAATCCCTTCTAAAAATATTCTTACAATATGTGGTGTTTTGACATATTTAAAAAATGTTTTTACAATATGTGCAATAAATCTTTACTTAATAAAAGCAGATCTGGGGGCACCTGGGTGGCTCAGTGGGTTAAGCCTCTGTCTTTGGCCCTGGTCATGATCTCAGGGTCTTGGGATCAAGCCCCACATCGGGCTCTCTGCTCAGCAGGGGGCCTGCTTCCCCCCCCCGCCGCCCGCCTGCCTCTCTGCCTACTTATGATCTCTCTCTCTCTCTGTGTCGAATAAATAAATAAAAACTTAAAAAATTTAAAAATAAAATAAAAAATAAAAGCAGATCTGTATAAGTCCACATCTTCGGTGCCTACTGTGTGCACGGTCCTGTTATTGTCATCAACATCAAGCCCACCAGAGGGCGCTCGTTCCCCGTCTATCTAGCCTTCAATCAGAGACTCCGAAAATCCAAATTAAACTTGACTTTCACACACAGGAAGTCTTTCATATTTAATCCACACAAATATTTACCGAGAATTTACTGTGCTGCCAGGTGCAGGGCTATGTGCACAGGATACAGTGAAGAATTAGGCACGATTCCTAATACCAAACACTTAGAAAGCAGCGAAGACTCCAAAGTAAACAACCGGGTACAATTAAGGAGGGTAACTGAAGAGTTTCTAGGTCTGGGGAGTTGTTTATTTGTCTTTTAAGATTTTATTTACTTATTTGACAGAGAGAGAGACATCTAGAGAGGGAACACAAGCAGGGGGAGTGGAAGAGGGAGAAGCAGGTTCCCCAGCGAGCAGGGAGCCCAACAATGGGTCTCGATCCCCCTGGATGGTGACCTGAGCCGAAGGCTGACGCTTAAGGACTGAGCCACCCAGGCGCCCCTGAGTTTGTTGTTTAAATACTGGCTCCAAGTCTTAGTAGCCGGTAACAATTCATTTTGAGATGAGTGGCTTCCGCTGGGTACACTGGGAGTGATCTCCATCCTCAAGGCATTTTGTAATTCAGAGCCACAGACCAGCTTCAGTGGCTCCATTAGTCAGCTCCGCAATTTCATGTCCCTTCCTATCCCCTCCCTCGTTTTATTTTGCGGGGCTTCCTGCAGTTCTCTTACAGTCCACTTCTGCTCTAGGTCAACAGTTCCAGTTAGACCCAGGGCCTAAGACAAGGGATTACCCACAACGAGCCCCAACCGCTGGCTCCGCCCACTCTTTTTTCCGGTTTGAAACCCGCGGGCCTTTCCTGCTTTGAATTCCTAGACTTCCTGTTCTGATTCTCGCGAGAGTTTCGAGGCATCGCGTGAAGTGTGCTCCCTGTCCTGCTGGAGTTTTGGAGACGGGCGTACTGTTTTTCTGCTTTCGCCCACCTCGTCAGAGCCCCACCCCGACCCCGGCCAGGAGTGACGTGCATTCGGCTAGGGAACCCCTAAGTGAAAGGGTTTGGCCGAGTTCAGGTCCGGAGGGAGAGTCCTGGGCTGCATCCGGGAGTTGGACCCTCCAGGCCTCCAATACGCATGCGGAGCCGATCCCCCTGGGTGGTGTGGAGGCCGTCGCCCGCCTTGAACTTCGGGGCTGGTCAGGAGGCCCAGGTCCAGGCCGCTAGGCCGGAGGCCAGGTTCTTCTGGGACGAGTAAATACCGTCTGAATACCGTCACCTCCCCGACTGCAAAGCTCAGTTTCAGCTCCCTGCAAACTGGACTGCAGCGCGGCTTCTGTAAGCCGCTTGGGGCAGGCTAGGGCGGGGCCTGGCAGACCCCGGGTAAGGCGGGCGGGCCTCCAGGAACGCTTTCCTCCCCACCCCCAGCCCAGAGTGCCACGGTGGCACTGGTGGCGGCCGTGAGACCGAACGCCTCCAGCCTTGGGGGCCTTGCAAATGTAACCTGTAATCCCGACCCGGAGCGAGGTCCGCGCGGGAGGCGCCCCGCCCACCTCTCCCTGCAGCTGCTGGTCAGCTGGGACCTCTATAATCAGTTGCGCTGAAGCACCTGCCGGATGTGGGGAGGGAGGAGGAGACCAGTTGTGGGGTGGCGGATGGAAGCGCCAAGTCTCTGGTCTGCGCCTTGGTAGGGAAGCTGGATGGGCAAGCCTGCAATAGCCCCCCGAGGAAGTCAGCCCTGGGCTGCGGGGCGACTACGTTGGTTGGCCCTGCCCTCCAGGAGCGCGCGACTTGGCATCAGAGCTCCTACTGCCTCCCTATTATGCAGCTGTTCTGGCAGACCCCAGGGACTGTAAAGTCCGATGGGACAAGCCCTCGACCTTCCCAGCCACCCCCAAATCCCCTACTCCCAACCCCCACCCCACCCTGCCCCTTGTCTTCTCCCAGCTTCGGTGTCCGGTTACCGGCTCCTCACTTCTCACTGTGACTTTGGCCCAGCTAGGGGAAGTGGCCCAGGAGGGTCCCTTGCGGCTGCATGAAATTGGCAGCTTCAGAACTGGAGGGAGGGGGTTGAGTGCGACGTCGAGAGGCGGGGAGAGGGGCGGAGGAGGTGCTCTCTGAGCCCAAGTCCGTGGGCTCTCTCAGAGATCCTCAAGCCGGAGCAGAGGTGGCTGGCAGGCCCAGCGGATTGTTGGCCTCTGCTTTCTTTCCACCGCCTGCTTTTTCCCACCGGAGACAGGGCTGTTCTGAAGGGCTTAGTCCTGGACACTAGGTGAGCGTTCTGGGCCCGGGGGCATTACTTCTTCCCCATTCCCACCCTTATTAACAACTCTTTAGTTCTGGGGCCATCAATTTTCATCCTCCTCTAGGGCAGGAAGCTTCAGAGCTGGATGGTCTGTGGTGCTGCCGCTGGGGTGTGTGTGTGTGCGCGCGCTGGTGGTTGAGCTTTATTACCCGTTCTTTTGACCTCTCCCCAACCCCAGAAACACAGTCCAGTCAATCACTGGATGGCTCCTAGAGAGTCACCAGGCATCTGTGTGGAGGGTCTGCTGGACGCCAAGGCAGCAGGGGAGGGGGCAGTGTGCTTGGGTCAAACTTTGGTACAATGAACAGTGAGGTCGCTTCTGACCTCCTGACCTGGCTTCCCTCCCTGGCAGGGTGCCACGAACGCGCTGATGCCCGGAGTGCTCGCAGGGCTTCCAGCTAACCATGCCGCAGCAGCCCGCAGCTGCCACGGCGCCGCCCTCGCTGCTCCTGCTGCTGCTGCTGCTGCTGCTGCTGCTGCGGACGCCGCCCCCGACAGGCGCACGGCCGTCCCCAGGCCCCGATTACCTGCGGCGCGGCTGGCTGCGGCTGCTGGCGGAGGGCGAGGGCTGCGCTCCCTGTCGGCCAGAAGAGTGCGCCGAGCCGCAGGGTTGCCTGGCCGGCCGGGTGCGCGACGTGTGCGGCTGCTGCTGGGAATGCGCCAACCTCGAGGGCCAGCTCTGCGACCTGGACCCCAGCGCCCACTTCTACGGGCGCTGCGGCGAGCAGCTTGAGTGTCGGTTGGACGCGGGCGGCGACCTGAGCCGCGGAGAGGTGCCGGAGCCTCTGTGTGCCTGCCGCTCTCAGCGCCCGCTCTGCGGGTCGGACGGCCGCACCTACGCGCAGATCTGCCGCCTGCAGGAGGCGGCCCGCGCTCGGCCTGACGCCAACCTCACGCTGGCGCACCCGGGGCCCTGCGAATCCGGTACGCACGGCTCGCTGGCCCTACCCTGGCACTTGGGGCACTCGAGGCATTGCTCCCCGACCTGCTACTGAATTGGTCTCTGGCCAGCGGAGAGAAAAAGTTGAGGCCGGGGAGTCCTCGAGTCCAGTGTAAGCCCGCTCTTGCCGCTGGTCCGCGGAGACCAGCACCTTCAGGGGCCGAGCTCTGTCCGCACGCTGTGTGCCCCTCTGAGGCGCGTGGAAGCCCCAGACCCGGCCGGCAGGGACCCACCCTCAGAGGGAGCAGGCACAGAGCCGATGACTGGTCTCAAAACCGAGAGAGCAAAGACTCCCAGTCTATCCAGACTGCTGGGGCCCAGGCAGCGAGACTTGGGTTCCAGAGAGATGCAATCGGGTTTCTTTTGGGCGGATTCCGATTTCGTAGAGCAAGCTGTTCGCCCAGTCTCCCCACCTCCCTTCGGTTTCTTCTGTGCCTTAGGATTCGTGAAGGAGGGGGCTCTTCCAGCTCCTCCCTCCTACCCCCGGGGGCTGAGGGCCATTCAGGCCTCAGGTTTCCTTTGGCAGCGGTAGTCACTTTCACTTCCTGAGCCCCTTTGAGGGCTCTGGCCTGGCTGGGGCTGCCAGGAAAACAAACACCGGCAGGGTCCCAAGACTTTACCCCATAACTGCAGGCTTTCTGCCCGCTGCCCAGATCTGGTTTCAGGTTCTCTGCCTTTCCCACGTGGGAGTCCCCCCCCCAACCCCCGCCTCCTTCCCTGGTCCCAGGGTGTGTGTAGGGAGCGGGAAGGGCTGTTCCTGGGGTCTTTGGCAACTGGATCTGGTTAGGAAGGGGGGGGTAGAGGGAGGTGTTAGTTACAAGTAGGGCAGGATAGGGGCCTCTAGGGTGGAATGAGGACAGGGGAGAGATCAGGAATGCAGTGTGGCTGCTGAGCTGCGGCATCCTGTCTGCTCGCACCTCACCATTTCGGAGTTTATACCTTGCGTGTACCGGTACCTACATTTACATGTACCCGTGTGTACTGATCAAGTCACGTGTATGGGTGTGTATTTACCTCTGCGTTGACTGTCTTCCCCCACAAACACATCCATGATGGTTCATACACGGCCTGCTTCTGGGGTCAGATGTGCCCATTCTCAGGCCTCCCATCTCCATCCCCAGAGCCCCAGATTGTGTTGCACCCGTATGACGTTTGGAACGTGACGGGGCAGGATGTGATCTTTGGCTGCGAGGTGTTTGCCTACCCCATGGCATCCATCGAGTGGAGGAAGGACGGCTTGGACGTTCAGCTACCCGGGGATGACCCCCACATCTCAGTGCAGGTAGGAGAGGGAGTCAAGGCCTCCTCTGGGCAGCCCAGGGTCCTCCTAGAAGGACCCTGCTGACCCCCACCTCTGGCACCAGTTCAGGGGTGGACCCCAGAGGTTTGAGGTCACAGGCTGGCTGCAGATCCAGGCTGTGCGTCCCAGCGACGGAGGTGTCTACCGCTGCCTGGCCCGCAATGCCCTGGGCCAGGTCGAGGCTCCAGCTAGCCTGACAGTGCTCACGCCAGGTAAGGGCGAGCCCTGGGCTCTGGGGACTGGTGGGGGGGGGTTGGTGCTGGTGGTGGATTGAGGCCCTTGAATGTGTGTCTGTGTGCCTATGCGCATGTGGGTTCAGAGGCAAGTATGGCTTCACTGACAGCCCCTCTTTCCTCTTCTCTCTCCTTTGCCCACATGTGTTTGCAGACCAGCTGAACTCCACAGGCATCCCCCATGTTCCATCCATGCCTCTGATTCCTGGGGAGGAGGCTGCGAGTGAAGAGGGCGAGGATTACTACTAGGGCTGCAGCCCCGGCCTGTGGGGGTGCGTGAGTGGGGAGAGTATTCATCCCTGCTCTTGAAAAGACCTGGAAGGGGGAGCAGGGCCCTTTCATTGCTTTGGTGCCCTTAATAGGGGGAACACGGTGGTGGTTAAGTAGGGAGACAAAAGTTGGCAGAGGGCAGGGAGAGAGGCAGACGCTCGGGAAAGTGGGAAGCAAAGAGGCCTATGGAGGAGGTGTCCTGGCCAGGACAGCCTCCAGCATAGACCAACCAGGCAGAAGACAGCAGCTGCCTCCTGGTCGCTAGGCTGGGAGGAAGTATCAGGGAAGGGGGTTGCAGAGGAAACACAAAGAGGCAGCCGGGATCCTCCACTTCTTCCTGATAACCTTCCCTCCAGCCCTCTTCAGCCAGTCTTCTGAACTACCCTTTGCCACAGCTCCTACTGTTATTTTTCTAGTCCCTAACCTTGGCCTAGCCTCAGTTTTCCCTTCCTCAAAACTCACCTTCTAGAAATTTCTCCCCTCACCTAAGTTCTAATTGCACTTACTAACAGCAGTCCTCTTTGCTGTTGGCCATCTGTGGTCTGGAAAAGCATAATGGAGCACGGTTTAGGCCAGTGCATTAAGATGGGCATTTGGTCATGTCTAACTTCTGTCCTTCTGGAAAATTTGAGGCCAGGACCATATCTTATACCACTCTGTATTGGACACTGCCTAGCACAGGACTAGGCACAGTAGGCATGCAATAAAGATTTATGAACAAACTGAGACACAGATGCACAGGTGTTTCGTGCAGGTGTGCACATGAAGACCACATTTCCCTGGGAGGCTTCCCATGGTAGTAGGACACTGGCTTCTAGAAGCTGCTCCCTAGGCATGTGCCTGCGGGATGTAGAGAGGGAGCTTGGGGCGGCAGGTAGAGGGGGGTGCTGCGCTGCCCTCTAGGGAGCAAGTCTGAAGACACTTGCTTGGAGGGAGGGTGTTCTCCCCATCTGAGCAACACTGGGGCTGGTCTGCCCCTGCAGGTGGGGAACCAGGTCCATGTGGGTAGGGCCCCAGGGTAAAAGCACAAACTGGATGGAGGGGAGCACCTTGGCGAGCAGCGTGGGCTGCACCCTAGGTTTCCCCTAGGAATCCACCCATTTTTTTGCTGAAACCAGACAAACAGGTAAGCCAGTTTCCTTATCTGCCAACTGTGACCTGTCCTATCTGGCTGGGGGTCACTCCCCACATCTCCCTCCACACTCGCTGTACCTGGCCTAGGTGAGGAGGCCCAGTGTTTATTGGCTGAGTGAAGCAGAAAATGAAAACTTGAGTTCGGGAGGCCAGGACCCTGTGTGTGGATGGCGACAGTCTCCTACGCGCGCGCGGTCCCCGCCCGGAGTCTGGCGCCACCACCGGAGAGATCCCAGTTGGCTCAGTGTCTGAACTTGTCCTCTGGGGCCCAAGGCAGGCAGCGTGGGCTCTTGGCAGGGGCGTGGCCCGGAATCCCCACCCGAGAGCTTGGCCGTCCCTCCCGCGGGACCGCAGGGCTCCTCCGCAGGCTAAGCAAGGGGGCAGCTGGCGGTGACTAGTCTGTTTAGAGCCTGGCGGCCCCAGGAACTGCACTCCACAGCTCGAGCGAGTTTGAGACTTGGGGTGAATTCCAGGACGACCGCGGAAGCAGGAGTGGGGATGTGAGCGGTGTGCCGGGGAGAGGGGGTCATGTTGCTTGGCGTCGGGACCAGAAGGCGTTCTACTCAGCACTGAAAGGGGGGACGTGATGTGGGTGGTCCGACCCTGTCTAGTTCTTGGCGGGTCTCCAGCCCAGCTGTGCTCGAAGGCGCCCCCTGGCGGGTCTATTGCTACTACCGTACCTACCTGCAGAGCGGAGGCTCCACCAGACCCAAGGGGGTCACAGGCACCCCGGCAGTCTGTACTCCTTGTTCGCTTTTGCAGACTTCATAGAGTATTCGAGTGCAGGCTTCTTACGGCCTCAGTTTCCCCCTCCCAGCCCTGCTGGTTCAGACCCCATAGCCTGGAATAGAAGGAATCCCTGCTGCTCCACACATCCGCCCCCTCCCCGCCCCGCCTCTGCTCCGCAGACGGGCTTTAATAACGTCTCTGGAAAGTGACACGCGATTTATTATTAAAGTAATGCGGGGACGGGAAAGGTTTAATAAACGCGCTGCGATGCCGCGATTATTCACCGCAAATAAATGAGAGCGCGGGCTGCGTTTTAATAAATAATTTCCCGCTGCTCCCTAGGGAAGAGAGGGGAAGAGGAGGGGGAAGCCGAGCCGCTGCCAGAACTCCCGGCCTCGCCTCCCCACGGGTTTTCAAGCCTTCCCTGCGTTTTTCGTTCGAGGTTGCTCACACCAGAAATGTGAGGCTCCAGGAGAGCTGACTCGGAGTGGCCTAGGCAGGGAGGCGGGAGGACCTCTGTTCCACCCAACTTCCCCCAACTCCGGGATTCTAAGTGCTTTGCTTAAGATGAGCGAATGCACTTCCTTCCGACTCCGAGCCAGAGATCGGTAGTCTACACTGTACTGGTGCGGGAGGGGTTACCCGGGACCAGACCCTCCCCAGCCAAGGGTACTAGGGCCTAGGGTCCGGCCATTCTCTCTGCTTTCGGCTGACCCCGGCTAGCCGTCCAGGGCAGGAGGTCGGGAGTACGCCGGGGTTAGAGGGCGGTGTGTACCTGTGCGTAGGAGCCGAGAATAACCCTGACTCCCTCCTCTGCCGTCGTGGGGCATCGGCCCGCTTATTGCTAAGAAGCCTCCTAGTAAAGGTCCTTCAGCCGCGTGGTTCTGATGGGTGAAGCCCAACTTTTGGCTCACTGGTGAACCAGGGTGGATTTGAGCGCTGAGCAGAACTGGGGCCCCCGAGGGAGAGTCCACCCGTCCAACAGAATCCTGGACGCCGGAGAGGACGAGCCCGATTTTGGAGATGGCCGAGCCTGCAGACTTTGGGGACCAAGAATTCGCCCACCGCCCTGCTGGGTGGCGGAATGAGAGGGCAGCTCTTGGGGTACATCGGCTTCGCAAGTTTTGTGCGTGGGCCAGAAGGGGCGACAGCTCTGGCGACACCCCTGGCCATGCTTGGGAGTACGTGAAGTGGCAGAAGAGTGCCATCTGGTGGACATTTCTGGTTGTGGCAGCCAGGTCTGGGTCAGGGGGCCTTGAGACAGTTAAATTGGAAAAATTTGAGTAAAAGGATGCTTCCATTTGTATTCACTTACTTTTGTGAACATGCACATATGTGTTTAGTATATATATGTGGTATCTGTGTGTGACGTATATTTAATATCAATATATATTCATAGTAGTTATGCGTGTGCTTATATGCATTGTATATGAAGTGTATATATACATGTATGTACATATACCATAATATATGTTACACACGTGGATTATATAAAAGCATATGTGTGTATGTGGATAACCATGTAGATACATATGTGTGTGCATAAGCATTGTACAGAGGGATGTATTGTTACATGTGTATAGCTCTATGTATACATTTACTTGCAAGTATGAGTTCCATTATGTGCCCTTCTTTCAACAAATATTTGTCATGGGCCAATGTTGTTGTAGGAACTGGAGATACATCATCCACATCACCCCTAACCTTGCAGAGCTTACATTCTTTTTTTTTTTTTTTAAGATTTTATTTATTTATTTGACAGAGAGAGATCACAGTAGACAGAGGTAGGCAGGGAGAGAGAGAGAGAGGGAAGCAGGCTCCCTGCTGAGCAGAGAGCCCGATGCGGGACTCCATCCCAGGATCCCGAGATCATGACCTGAGCCGAAGGCAGCGGCTTAACCCACTGAGCCACCCAGGCGTCCCCAGAGCTTACATTCTATTGTAACATGTGCATGTGAATGTACATATACTTAGAGTAATTATATATGCGTATGTGCATGGGATTGTGTGCACATGTATGTGTCGCTCTGTCTACACACATGAGGGGCAGACAGGCTTAAACACTCCTCTGATGGACTTGGAGATTCCTTGAGCTCTTTTGTGCTCAAAAGTTCAGGTGCCATCACTTAGGACCCTATTCTAAGTGTGCAGGCATCTTGAGGCAGAGAGAAAGAGACTGGAAACATAGGCTGATTACCTTCTGGGATGTACTTTGGTCACTTCCGCAGCCCTCTAAATGCCTAGATTCTTTCTAAATGGTGAACGGCCATGGAAATCCACAGGGTGATGAGATGTTAATGATGTTACTCTCACATCTCAAAGCGAAGCATCTTGGGTGGGAAGGATGATGGTTGGGATGGGTGGGAATGGGGTCTGGGAAGCTGGGGGTAGGGATGAGTTCTCTGAGGGCAGTGGTGGGAGCATGTAGAATCTAGGAGGGATCTGGTCTAGAATGACTCTAGGAGTCAGTTGTGGGTAATGGAAATGGTTTGAGGACTCTGGGAGGGATGGGCTGGTAGATAGAGAGAGATGGGGCCCAGGGGTCAAAAATGAGGTCAGCATCAGGGATGGAGTTGAGGGGGTACAGAGATGGAGGCACAAGCAGCAGTCTTGGGATGGAACCTGGAGGCCAGCTCAGATGGAATCATCCCTGCCTTTCTCCCCACCCTCCCTTCTCCATGCTGGGGCCCCTCTTTTCTTTCATCCTCTCTCTGCCTAATCTGGATCCCAGATGTGCTGGTGGCAGAGGAGAAGAGTATAGGCTCCAGGGCTTGTCCTGGCTTAGGTGACTCACCGGTAGGCGAGGTGGGGCCGGGCTCCCAACGCCACTGTACCATGAAGCCTCATCCCAGCCACCTGGGCCACTGCCTGCCCTTTACCTGCTGCCATTACCAGCTTTCAGTTTTGGTTCAGCACAGGGGTTCAAACAAGGGTGAGGCCTGGACCTGGAAAAGGTCACAGACTCCCCCTCCGCATATACACCCACACATTCCTGGGGCTGAATGAGGAAAGGTGCTTCTGAATGATTTCTTCCTTCCTTCCCTCCTTTGCTAGATGTTTTCCAGACACGGTCAAGGCCAGAAGTCTTCAGGTACCATCCTCAGCCCTGGTCTGTGGCCACACCTTTGCCTGACTACTTCACTCTAAAACCAAGGTTTCTGTCCCTTCTTTGCCTCTTTTCCCTTCCTTCATTCTCTCTTTCCTTCCCAGGGTTGAGGGCTTAGATCCCTGTGCTGTGTCCCCACTGGTCAGAGGAGCGGAGGAGGGGCGGAAGACATGGTCTGGCTCCTGACCTGGATTTCCTTTCCTTTCCTTTCCTTTCCTTTCCTTTCCTTTCCTTCCCTTTTCTTTTCTTCTCTTTTATGTTTTCTCTGCCATGGGAGTGACTGAAGGCTCTCTGGACGAGATGAACAGTCAGGAAAGCCAGTTTGGATGACAAATGCTGCCCCACAATCAACTCTCACCTGGTCCCCTTGGTGGGTAGCACCTTGGGAGGCAGCACGGACTTGAGGGTGCTGAAGCAGGTCTGGAGGTCCCTGGGAGAAAAGACAGAGTCTTTGTGAGAAGTGACATGGTCTTCCAGGATGTCTCCTAGGTTGAGGACCTAGGGACAAATATTTCCTACCTCTCACCCCCACTCCCATCCCAGATCACTGAAGCTGAAGAAGGCCCTCTTGGCCTCCTGGACTCAGCTGGTCCTGGAGGGACCCAGGTTCTAACTCTGGCTCTCCAGCTCCCCCTGCCCCTCCCCGACAGTGTGAACTGGTGTCAGAAAGGTTTCAGTTCTGTGGGTAGTGGGGGGGTGTCTCAGGGGTAGTGTTCTCTCAAGGGCAGTGATGGGTCTTTGGGGGCAGAACCAGGGCTT